GGGACTCCGCTCCTTCCTCTATAATCTCTCTCCCCTCCTGAAATGCTCTGCGCTGCTGGAGGACTCCGCTCCTTCCTCTATAACTCCTCTCCTGAAATACTCTGCACTGCTGGGGGACTCCGCTCCTTCCTCTATAACTCTCCTCTCCTGAAATACTCTGCACTGCTGGAGGACTCCCGCTCCTTCCTCTATAACTCTCCTCTCCTGAAATACTCTGCACTGCTGGGGGACTCCGCTCCTTCCTTCTCTATAACTCTCCTCTCCTGAAATACTCTGCACTGCTGGAGGACTCCGCTCTCCTTCCTCTATAACTCTCCTCTCCTGAAATACTCTGCACTGCTGGAGGACTCCGCTCCTTCCTCTATAAACTCCTCTCCTGAAATACTCTGTTCTGCTGGGGACTCCACTCCTTCCTCTATAACTCCTCTCTCCTGAAATACTCTGCACTGCTGGAGGACTCCGCTCCTTCCTCTATAACTCTCCTCTCCTGAAATACTCTGCACTGCTGGAGGACTCCTCTCCTTCCTCCTATAACTCCTCCTCTCCTGAAATACTCTGCCTCTGCTGGAGGACTCTGCTCCTCTTCCTCCTAAACTCTCCTCTCCTGCTCTGCTGGAGGACTCCTCTCCTTCCTTCCTCTATAACTCTCTCCTCTCCTGAAATACTCTGCTCCTGCTGGAGGACTCCCGCTCCTTCCTCTATAACTCTCCTCTCCTGAAATACTCTGCGCTGCTGAGGACTCCGCTCCTTCCTCTATAACTCTCTCCTCTCCTGAAATACTCTGCTCTGCTGAGGGACTCCGCTCCTTCCTCTATAACTCTCCTCTCCTGAAATACTCTGCACTACTGGGGGACTCCGCTCCTTCCTCTATAACTCTCCTCTCCTGAAATACTCTGCACTGCTGGGGGACTCCGCTCCTTCCTCTATAACTCTCCTCTCCTGAAAATGCTCTGCTGCCCTGCTGGAGGACTCTGCTCCTTCCTCTATAACTCCTCTCCTGAAATACTCTGCGCTGCTGGGGACTCCGCTCCTTCCTCTATAAACTCCTCTCCTGAAATACTCTGCACTGCTGGGGGACTCCGCTCCTTCCTCTATAACTCTCCCTCTCCTGAAATACTCTGCTCTGCTGGAGGACTCCTCTCCTTCCTCTATAACTCTCCTCTCCTGAAATACTCTCTGCTGCTGGAGGACTCCACTCCTTCTCCCTCTATAACTCTCCTCTCCTGAAATACTCTGCTGCTGCTGGGGACTCCGCTCCTTCCTCTATAACTCTCTCCTCTCCTGAAATACTCTGCACTGCTGGAGGACTCGCTCCTCCCTCCTCCTCTATAACTCTCCTCTCCTGAAATACTCTGCACTGCTGGAGAGGGACTCCGCTCCCTCCCTCTATAACTCTCCTCTCCTGAAATACTCTGCACTGCTGGAGGACTCCACTCCTTCCTCTGTAACTCTCCTCTCCTGAAATACTCTGCTCTGCTGGGGGACTCCCACTCCTTCCTCTATAACTCTCCTCTCCTGAAATACTCTGCTCTGCTGGAGGACTCCGCTCTTTCCTCTATAACTCTCCCTCTCCTGAAATACTCTGCACTGCTGGAGGAGGACTCCGCTCCTTCCTCTGTAACTCTCCTCTCCTGAAATACTCTGCTCTGCTGGAGGACTCCTCTCCTTCCTCTATAACTCTCCTCTCCTGAAATACTCTGCTCTGCTGGAGGACTCCGCTCCTTCCTCTATAACCTCCTCTTCTGAAATGCTCTGCGCTGCTGAAGGACTCCGCTCCTTCCTCTATAACTCTCCTCTCCTGAAATACTCTGCTCTGCTGAGGACTCCGCTCCTTCCTCTATAACTCTCCTCTCCTGAAATACTCTGCACTGCTGGGGGACTCCGCTCCTTCCTCTATAACTCTCCTCTCCTGAAATACTCTGCAGCTGCTGGAGGACTCCGCTCCTCCCTCTATAACTCTCCTCTCCTGAAATACTCTGCACTGCTGGAGGACTCCACTCCTTCCTCTGTAACTCTCCTCTCCTGAAATACTCTGCTCTGCTGGGGGACTCCTCCTTCCTCTATAACTCCTCTCCTGAAATACTCTGCACTGCTGGAGTACTCCGCTCCTTCCTCTGTAACTCTCCTCTCCTGAAATACTCTGCACTGCTGGAGGACTCCGCTCTTCCTCTAGAACTCTCCTCTCCTGAAATACTCTGCGCTGCTGGAGGACTCCGCTCCTTCCTCTGTAACTCTCCTCTCCTGAAATACTCTGCGCTGCTGAAGGACTCCGCTCCTTCCTCTGTAACTCTCCTCTCCTGAAATGAAATACTCTGCTCTGCTGGAGGACTCCGCTCCTTCCTCTATAACTCTCCTCTCCTGAAAATACCTCTCTGCTGGAGGACTCCGCTCCTTCCTCTATAACTCTCCTCTCCTGAAATACTCTGCACTGCTGGAGGACTCCGCTCCTTCCCTCATAACTCCTCTCCTGAAATACTCTGCTCAGCTGGAGGACTCCGCTCCTTCCTCTATAACTCTCCTCTCCTGAAATACTCTGCGCTGCTGGAGGGACTCCGCTCCTTCCTCTATAACTCTCCTCTCCTGAAATACTCTGCACTGCTGGGGGACTCCGCTCCTTCCTCTATAACTCTCCTCTCCTGAAATACTCTGCACTGCTGGGGACTCCGCTCCTTCCTCTATAACTCTCCTAAAATACTCTGCTCTGCTGGAGGACTCCTCTCCTTCCTCTATAACTCTCTCCTCCTCCTGAAATACTCTGCGCTGCTGAAGGACTCCGCTCCTTCCTCTATAACTCTCCTCTCCTGAAAATACTCTGCACTGCTGGGGGACTCTCCTCCTTCCTCTATAACTCTCCTCTCCTGAAATACTCTGCACTGCTGGGGGACTCCGCTCCTTCCTCTATAACTCCCTCCTAAAATACTCTGCTCTGCTGGAGGACTCCTCTCCTTCCTCTATAACTCTCCTCTCCTGAAATACTCTGCGCTGCTGAAGGACTCCGCTCCTTCCTCTATAACTCTCCTCTCCTGAAATACTCTGCACTGCTGGGGGACTCCGCTCCTTCCTCTATAACTCTCCTAAAATACTCTGCTCTGCTGGAGGACTCTCTCTCTCCTCCTCTATAACTCTCCTCTCCTGAAATACTCTGCGCTGCTGAAGGACTCCGCTCCTTCCTCTGTAACTCTCCTCTCCTGAAATACTCTGCTCTGCTGGGGGACTCCGCTCCTTCCTCTATAACTCTCCTCTCCTGAAATACTCTGCTCAGCTGGAGGACGCCGCTCTCCTTCCTCTATAACTCCTCTCCTGAAATACTCTGCGCTGCTGGAGGACTCCGCTCCTTCCTCTATAAACTCTCCTCTCCTGAAATACTCTGCGCTGCTGGAGGACTCCGCTCCTTCCTCTATAACTCTCCTCTCCTGAAATACTCTGCACTGCTGGGGGACTCCGCTCCTTCCTCTATAACTCTCCTCTCCTGAAATACTCTGCACTGCTGGAGGACTCCTCTCCTTCCTCTATAACTCTCCTCTCCTGAAATACTCTGCGCTGCTGAAGGACTCCGCTCCTTCCTCTATAACTCTCTCTCTCCTGAAATACTCTGCACTGCTGGGGGGACTCCGCTCCGCTCCTTCCTCTATATCTCTCCCCTCCTGAAAATGCTCTGCGCTGCTGGAGGACTCCGCTCCTCCCTCTATAACTCTCCTCTCCTGAAATACTCTCTGCACTGCATTTGGAGGACTGTACTCCTGAATTCATTACTCCTTCTCTGTAACTCTCCTCTCTATTTTCTAACTCCTGAAATACTCTGCTCTGCTGGGGACTCCACTCCTTCCTCTATAACTCCTCTCCTGAAATACTCTGCTCTGCTGGAGGACTCCGCTCTTTCCTCTATAAACTCTCCTCTCCTGAAATACTCTGCACTGCTGGGACTCCGCTCCTTCCTCTATAACTCTCCTCTCCTGAAATACTCTGCTCTGCTGGAGGACTCCGCCCCCTTCCTCTGTAACTCTCCTCTCCTGAAATACTCTGCACTGCTGGAGGACTCCGCTTCTTCCTCTCTAGAACTCTCCTCTCCTGAAATACTCTGCGCTGCTGGAGGACTCCGCTCCTTCCTCTGTAACTCTCCTCTCCTGAAATACTCTGCGCTGCTGCTGGAAGGACTCCGCTCCTTCCTCTGTAACTCTCCTCTCCTGAAATACTCTGCTCTGCTGGAGGACTCCGCTCCTTCCTCCATAACTCTCCTCTCCTGAAATACTCTGCTCTGCTGGGGGGGACTCCGCTCCTTCCTCTATAACTCTCCTCTCCTGAAATACTCTGCACTGCTGGAGGACTCCGCTCCTTCCTCTATAACTTTCCTCTCCTGAAATATTCTTGGTCTTGGTCCAGCATATTGTGTATTGATGTTCATACTGGTGTCAGATTTGGAAGGAGTTCTCAGACTCAGGTCAATGATTAATAGCAGAGTTGGTCTGTTTTACATTCTATAACAATCACCCTCATTCATCCTCCGATGGGTTATATGCTTCATTTACTTTAATGAGGACAGAGGGGGGTAATTTGAGATTTGAGACCTCATTAATGGGATATGGTGTTGCTCAGAACTGTCATCTCAGTACAGCAGAATTTGGGGGGCTCTGTAGGACCCCCAGAATAGACATTTCAATGACATACATACAGAAACAGTTCCTAGAAGTCATCTGAACTGGAAATATTCCAAATAAAGGGGGGGGGGGGGAATATCTCCCAGCTGACTTCTCCAGCAGTCCCATGACTGTCACTGTGATCAGCTAACATAAAGCAGGTCACCATACGGCTATGTCTGTGTCTAATATCTCATTTTCAGGCGCTGATGAAACTCCTCCCACTATTACACGCTGAAACAAAGTTTACAGTTATTTTATTAATAAAAACTCCACTGGAAAAAAATAATTTTAGTTATAAATGCAGCTCACTTTTAAAGAACTGAAATGTCAAGTTTTTCAAAGTTCTTATATTCTGTTGCGTTTAATTTCAGGATCCCAACCTAACGCTGTACACACACACACCCCGGATCTGACGCCATGCTTCCAGAACACCATCATCGCCTGGATCCCCTGCATCTACCTCTGGGCCATGCTCCCATTTTATATTATTTATTTAAGATATAACAGAAGAGGATATATTGTGCTGTCTGTGCTTTGCAAGGTCAAAACGGTGAGATACCTTCTCTTCCCCATCACTTTCTCCCCTCCTTCTCTCTCTAATCCCCCCCCCCCCCCCCCTTTTTCACTCTCCTCCCTCCCTCTCATTCTCCCTCCTTCTCTCTCTCTCTGATCTTTCTCTTCCTTCCCCTTTCTTTCCCTCTCCCCCCTTTCTCTCTCCCCCCCTCCCTCTCACCATCCTTCCACTCTCTCTCCTCCTCTCTCCCCTTTCTCTCTTGCTTCCCTCCCCCTCCTCTCTTCCCTTCCTTTCTCTCTCCTTCTGCCCCCCCCCCCCCCCCCCCCCCTTTTTGCTCCCTCTCTTGCTCTTCCCCTCTCTCTCCACCCTCTGTCTCCCCCCTTCTCTACCTCTCTTTCTTTCCAAACTCCTCCCTCTCCCCTTTCTATCTTGCTTTTCTCCTCCCTCCCCCCATCTTCCCCTTCCTTTCTCTCCACCCACTCTCTCTCTCCCCCCCCCCCTTCTCTCTCTCTTTCTCTCCCCCTCTCTCTCTGCCCCCTTCTCTACTGCTCTTTCTGTCCCTCCCCCTTCCTCCGTCCTCCCTCTTCCCCTCACTTCTCTTCCCTTTCTCTCCTGTCTCTCTCCCCTTTTCTCTCCCCCTTTCTCTCTCTCTCTCTCTGTCTCTCTCTCTCCTTCCTCCCCCCCCCCCCCATTCTCTCCTGTCTCCCTCTCTCCCTTTTCTCTCCTGTCTCTCTCCCTTTTCTCTCCTGTCTCTCTCCCCCTTTCTCTCCTGTCTCTCTCCCCTTTCTCTCCTTCTTCTTTCCCTTCTTCCCTCTTCCCTTTCTCTCCTTTTCTCTCTCCCCTTTCTCTCCCTGTCTTTTCTCTGTCCCTTTCTTTCCTCTCCTCCCCATTCTCTCTCCTCTCTCCCCTTTCTCTCCTTCCCTTCTCTCCTTCCCTTCTCTCCTCTTCCCTTTCTCTCCTTCTCTCTCTCCCCCTTTCTCTCTCTCTTTTCTCTCTTGCTTTCCCCCCCCTTCTCTACCTCTCCCCACCCCCCACGCTATCCTCTACTCTCTTTTCTCTCCCTCTCTCTACCCCCCCTTCTCTCCCTCCCCCCTTCTCTCTCTCCTCCCCGTTCTCTCTCCTCTCTTCTCTCTCTCTCCCCTCTTCTCTTGCTTTGTTTTTTCTCTCTCCCCCTCATTCTCTATCCATTTATTTTTCATGAGCTCAGGTGTTCTTGCATCATGATCACTATACAGACATCAGACTTGTTTCACAGCTCAACCTTTATTTAACTCCTCGCATTTCTTGTAAGCTGTAGACCTATTATACACTGTCCAGCTTTAAATGCCATCCTCCCTGGCACACCAGCTGTAATTTACGATAGGCTTGCAGTGGGATGTATTCCTACAATCAGGAGGAGCGTGGGGAGAGCAGAGTGTTCTGCAACCTCACTCATTACTTCTTGGAGTTCACAATGGCTTTGAAACAAATGTTCTAACAGTCTCATATTTCAGACAGTGAGGAGGTGGTTTGAACATTTTTCTAAACATGTCATAAAGCATTTTAACAGATTAATTTTTTTGTGTATTTCAGCTGATTGGCATTCTGCTTGGCTTGTGTGCTGGGCGGACCTGTTCTACTCCTTCCATAAACTTGTTCAGAATGAGGCTCCGCCTCCTGTCTTTTTTGTCACACCTTTGATCGTCGGAATCACAATGGTTTGTATAGATCACTATTCAAGGTCTAATATATAATATATAACCTACAGTGGGTATCAAAGAGAAACACCCCCTTTAAAATAATCCCATTTTGTTGTTTTGCAGCCTGAAATGAAGACAGGCACAGTTTTTGTTTTATCCAGCTATATTTACTCTAATAACATCCAAGTGAAAGAACACCAACATGTCAGAAACATTTAAAAAAAAATTCAAAAACATAATCACTGAGTTGGAAAAAGGACCCCCTTTATGTCAGTATTTTGTTGAACCTTTAGCTTTATTCCAGCCTTTAGTCTGTTGGGATGTCTCTACTAACTTTGCACATCTAGACTTTTGCAATATTTGCCCGTTCTTCCTTGCAGAACGGCTCAAGTTTAGTTAAATTTGATGGTGACCGTTTGTGGATGGCAGTCTTTGAGTCAGGGGCGGACTGACCAATAGAGCACTTGGGCACTGCCCGAGGGCCCAGGGTCAGTAGGGGGCCCCATGAAATGCCCCTGGTACCTTTTCATAGGCTTTTGTGAGTGTGCTTTGAGTTTGGTCAAGGACACAGGGGCCCCATGACCCCCTATTGGCGGGGGGCCCCATGAGCTGTCAGTCTTCCCCTGCTTTGAGTCAGTCCACAGATTTTCAATGGGGTTGAAGTCTGGGCTCTGACTTGGCCATGCAAGGATATTCTCCTTTTTCTCCTCCAACCACTGTGGGCTCATTTTTGCTGTGTGCTTTGGGTCATTGTCATGTTGGAAGGTCAACCTTCTTCTCATTGACAAACTTTCTGGCAGAGGGCAACAGATTTTCCTCCAGAATGTGACATGATTTTGCCCCATCCATTTTTCCTTCTATCCTGACAAGTGCTCCAGTCCGTAACCAGATATTATCCCCTCCATGCTTTACTGTAGGAATGGTGGGATTTGGATGGTGAGCTGGATTGGATTTCGGCCAGACATCGTTTAGTGTTGAGGCCAAATCATTCAATTTGAGTCTCATCCGACCAGAACACATTTTTCCATGTGGTCTCAGAATCTTCATGTTGCGTTTTGGCAAAGCTCAGTGGTGACTACATGTGGCCTTTCTTGAGGAGTGAGTTTCTTCTTGCACCCCTCCCATACAAGCCACATATGTGGAGAATTTGTGATATTGTTGTCACATGACCACAATGACCACTCTTTGTCATCAATTCCTGCAACTGCTTCAGATTTGCTGTAGGCCTCTTGGTAGCCTCTCTGACCAGTTTTCTAATGGCTTTTTTATCTTGTTTAGAGTGAGGTCCTGTTCCAGGGAGGGTCTGTGTTGTAGCAAATTCCTTCCACTTCTTAGTAATAGACTTCACTCTGCTTCTAGGCATTCATAAAGCCATTGACATTTTTTCATAACCCTATCCTGACTTGTGCCTGTCCACAACTTTATCCTGGAGATCCCCGTGACAGTGCCTTGCAACCCATAGTTGATTGTTTGCTTCCATTGCACTACCAGGGACTGACATGCTCCAGGAAAGCTCTTTTCATGCTGAACTAATTGAAATGACCATAACTGATCAAAGTTGAAAGTCAAATGGCCGTTGAGAAGATGATTAGCTGCACTGTATTGAGTTCACAAGTCATTTTTAGGAGCGGGGGGGGGGGGGGGGGGGGGGTACTGATCCTTTTCACTTTCCTGATCCAACTCAGTGATTTAGTTTTTTTTAATTTAAAATGACAATTTGTAAGATCTTTCACTTGAATCTTATAAGTAAGTTGCACGGAGCAAATAGAGCTGGGTAAAACAAAAACTGTGTCTGTCTTCATTTCAGGATGCAAAGCAACAAATTGTGATTATTTTAAAAAAGGAAGTGATTCTTTTCTATATCCACTTTATATCTGGAGAGCGGTGATGTCACTCCCGTATAATATATCTTATATCTGGAGAGCGGTGATGTCACTCCTGTATATCTTATATCTGGAGAGCGGTGATGTCACTCCTGTATAATATATCTTATATCTGGAGAGCAATGTCACTCCCGTATAATACATCTTATATTTGGAGAGCGGTGATGTCACTCCCGTATAATACAACTTATATCTGGAGAGCGGTGATGTCACTCCTGTATATTATATCTTATATCTGGAGAGCGGTGATGTCACTCCTGTATAATATATCTTATATCTGGAGAGCGGTGATGTCACTCCCGTATAATATATCTTATATCTGGAGAGTGGTGATGTCACTCCCGTATAATATATCTTATATCTGGAGAGCGGTGATGTCACTCCCGTATAATATAACTTATATCTGGAGAGCGGTGATGTCACTCCCGTATAATATAACTTATATCTGGAGAGCGGTGATGTCACTCCCGTATAATATATCTTATATCTGGAGAGCGGTGATGTCACTCCCGTATAATATAACTTATATCTGGAGAGCGGTGATGTCACTCCCGTATAATATATCTTATATCTGGAGGGCGGTGATGTCACTCCCGTATGATATAACTTATATCTGGAGAGCGGTGATGTCACTCCCGTATAATATATCTTATATCTGGAGGGCGGTGATGTCACTCCCGTATAATATATCTTATATCTGGAGGGCGGTGATGTCACTCCTGTATAATATATCTTATATCTGGAGGGCGGTGATGTCACTCCTGTATAATATATCTTATATCTGGAGAGCGGTGATGTCACTCCCGTATAATATATCTTATATCTGGAGAGCGGTGATGTCACTCCTGTACAATATAATGTATATACTATATTGCAGTGTTTGGTACATATGATATTATATTATATTTAACGCTTAGCTTTTCCTTCTTTTTCCTCAGATTGCAGCAACGATTCTTATCCACTACGAGAGGCTGAAGGGCGTCCAATCTTCTGGCGTTCTCATCATTTTCTGGTTCCTGGCCACACTCTGTGCCATTGTTCCTTTCCGGTCGAAGGTCATGTCCTCAGTAAATCGGGTAATTTGATCCCGGGGTGTTTGGCGAGGTTTTATCCAAACAGGACATTGCTTTAGTAAAAAGCCCCATCTTTGGTACCCTGTCTGGTAGCTGTGACATCATCATGTACAAAGCAGGACCAGCAATCCTGCATTGTATGTGAGGACATCGAGGGCCCAACCACAACCTGGAGAAAAGAGGAAAGGTAAGTAAAGCTGTTTACTCAAAAATGAGTATGTAGCCTTAGGGAGACCCACTGCGAGGATAGATTTTTTTCATTCTACTGAAGATCTGCTTTAACCACTTGCCCTCCAGAGGATTCACCCACCTTTCCTGACCAGGCCATTTTTTGCATTACGGCGCTGTGTTATTTTAACTGACAATTGCGCGGTCATGCAACGCTGCACCTAAATTAAATTTACGGCCTTTTTTTTACCACAAATAGAGTTTTTTTTGCAGTGGTATTTTATTGCCTGTGCAGTTTTATTTTTTGCGCTATAAACAGAAACAGACCGACAATTTTTAGAAAAAAACTATATTTTTGACTTTTTGCTATTAAACATGTCCAGTAAAAAAAATTAAAAATCAAATTTCATCATAAATTTAGGACAAAATGTATTCTGCTCCATGTCTTTGCTAAAAAAAATACCAATACGTGTAAATTAATTGGTTTACATGAAAGTTATAGCATTTACAAATGGCGGTATATGCAGTCAGGTCCATAAATATTGGGACATCGACACAATTCTAACATTTTTGGCTCTATACACCACCACAATGGATTTGAAATGAAACGAACAAGATGTGCTTTAACTGCAGACTGTCAGCTTTAATTTGAGGGTATTTACATCCAAATCAGGTGAACAGTGTAGGAATTACAACAGTTTGCATGACTGTATACTGGGATTTTTTATTTTTTTTTTACTAGTAATGACAGCAGTCAGCGACTTATAGCGTGGCTACAGCAGGCATTCTGACACTGGGAGGAAATGATTTGGTGTCACTGACATCCCCAGTGACAGCAATACAGTGATCAGTGCTAATAAAAACAACTGACACTGCACTAATGGCACTGGGCAGGAGGGGTTAACATGTGGGGCGATCAAAGGGTTAACTGTGTGCTGTGTGTTTTCTTTCAGCTGTAAACACACTGCTTTGTATGGCTCTGCTATGCAGAGCCATACAAAACAGTGTGCAGGAGCTGACAGAGGAGAGATCTGTATTGTTCCCTCCCCCGTCTGTAATACTCAGCGATCACCGGGTGCCGGTGAGTAATCACCAGCCGGGACCCAGTGATTGACAACCGAGGACACGAATAGCGGTGCGGGTAGGGCATGCACACGGCTCGCGTGCACTCCCTATCTAGAACTGCAAAATCGTGTATATATACGCAGTATTTCTGCTATTGGGCGGACAGGAAGCGGTTAAATAACATTTCCTCCTTCTGATTTGTCTTGTCTTCAGGAGGTGTCGGACCGATTCCGCTTCACCACCTTTTTTATTTATTTTACTCTGCTGGCGTTGGAGCTGATCCTGTCTTGTTTTAAGGAGGCTCGCCCCTTCTTCTCCCCCGTCTCCTCCGACTGTGTGAGTACTCCACCTTTAATTGACCGAAAAGTTAAGCATTAAGAACCAAATTGAACAGTTCTTCTTCATCATCCTTCTGCAGAATCCTTGTCCAGAGTCTGACGCCGGCTTCCTCTCAAGATTGACATTTTGGTGGTTCACAAAGTAAGTGGAATGTGAACATAATACAATATCTAAAGAAGAACTCTGTATTAGCTGTTTCCTTGTTGTTCTTCCAGTGTATGAGATCACTGAGATATCTTTTAACAAAATAAAAGAAATTCCAGAAAGTGAACATGAGCGCAAATAGAAACTGAGGTAAAAATGAAACTGTGGCCATTAGGAGTACAAAAGATCCAGTTCCATCAGTGGACAAAAACCAATGCATTGAATTGTGCCCATCATTGGTGTCATTTGGCCCAATTGTTGGTATCAACAATAGGAGGAACTGTACCCCATCGTTGTTGTCATTGTGGGGAATTGTGCTCCATCATTGGTGTCATTTGGCCCAATTGTTGGTATCAACAATAGGAGGAACTGTACCCCATCGTTGTTGTCATTGTGGGGAATTGTGCTCCATCATTGGTGTCATTTTTTCCCAATTGTTGGTATCAACAACAGGAGGAACTGTGCCCCATCGTTGTTGTCATTGTGGGGAATTGTTCTCCATCATTGGTGTCATTTGGCCCAATTGTTGGTATCAACAACAGGAGGAATCGTGCCCCATTGTTGTTGTCATTGCAGGGAATTGTGCTCCATCATTGGTGTCATTTGGCCCAATTGTTGGTATCAACAACAGGAGGAACTGTGCCCCATCGTTGTTGTCATTGTGGGGAATTGTTCTCCATCATTGGTGTCACTTGGCCCAATTGTTGGTATCAACAACAGGAGGAATCGTGCCCCATTGTGGTTGTCATTGCGGGGAATTGTTCTCCATCATTGGTGTCATTTGGCCCAATTGTTGATGTGATTGGGAGGTAATGTGCCCCATCACTGGTGTCATTGAGAGGAATTGTACCCCTTCAGTGCTGTCAGTGGGGGAGAATTATGTTGGTATCAGTGGATTAACTAGTGCCCTAAGGGCCAGATAAAATCATACAAAGGGCCACATCTTGCCCCTGGGTTGCAGTTTGAAAACCACTGCTTTAGAGGCACCTGTCCAAGTTTCCCATTTGCTACTGATCTAAAACTTAAATAGAATGCTAAAAATCTATGGTATCTTTTAAAAACATGAGAACTTGTGTGGAATAGGCTTTCTTAAAGGAAAGAACGAGGTCTTTTCCACCAAATCTTCCTGCAATGTGTGTGCCTTCCCAAGGTGACTGGGAGGACAACTCCTTTATCTAACTTCAGTCCCAGACCTCTCTGACTCGGTTGGCACAAGCTTCAATCTTACACAATGAACTACTTACCTCCTCAGCCAAGTAAGGGGCCAGTTAAACAAAGACTGGAGAAGACTTGAGTGTGTGAAGTCCATGTCAGACTACAGAACTAAATATTTTGTTTTCCTGTAAATGAACGTTCATTTTATTATGCAGTTTGTGTTGTGACTCTTCATGCTGAAACTGAGAAGAACTTTTTTCTTTGTGCTCCCAGGATGGCGATATTGGGCTATAGGAGGCCTCTGGAAGACAAGGATCTTTGGACATTGAATGAAGATGACAAATCCATAGCAGTTGTGTCTAAACTGATCAAAGAGTGGGACACAGAGAAGGCCAAGTTAAGGTAATGTATGAAGGCTGATGGTCTGCTGAAGAGTACAGTGGGTGTGGATTTCATCTGAGACCACACAATCCATGAGTTTAACAAACCCTCAGGCCAAATATTCAGGAATTTAGACCCCACACTGTATGCATTGGGTGTTACAATTCGTTAGTTGTTAGCACTGTGGTCTTGTGGTTCTAGGTTTGTAGGAGAAAATGCCACTAAGGAATTCATATGTTCTTTCCTTGGTTTTAGTGGTTACCACCAGATGGTCCAGTTTTGTTGTGCAATCCAAAACATGCTACCAGGTTATGTTGTTCTACCTCAGACCGACCCTTTGTAGTGTATGACTGAATCTGTGTAATCCATGAAGATCCATGTACTATGATGAGATAATTATATCTACACACAGGGGATAAATGTAGAGTCTAGCATTCATTGTCCAGTGCCATATAGCCAGTCTGATTCCATGGCCTTCACTAGTTTACCTGTTAGGACTCTTAATTAGGTGCATGCTGTACCAGTGATGTCCTCGCCCCACCAGAATTTAAATCCATCGGTCAATGCTCTGTAGAACCATTCTTTTTGTGTCCATAGTGCTCACAGTGACTGTCATGTTGACCTGTCTCCATCTTCTTTGATTTTCCAGGAGTAATGAAGTGCAATTCACCAAAGCCCAAGAAGCCGAAATGAACCACGTGACCGAAAAACCAACAGAGTCCGATGTTCTCATTGTCAACAACAACAAGAAGAGAGAGCCATCCTTCCTAAAAGTTCTCATCAAGACTTTTGGGCCATTCTTTTTAATCGGGTCCGTGTTCAAGCTTTTCCAGGATCTCCTGTCATTCGTCAATCCCCAGTTATTAAGGTAAGGCTCTTCTGGGAACGAGGCATTCCTGTCAGTTGGTCAAAGCAGAATTTATGGATTGCCATAATCACTAAACACAGACTACATCATGGGGCAAAACAGCACAGAATCTAAATACAGATAGTAGAAATACCTAAATCTGTCTTTATAATAGCTTCCTGCACAGTGGCCCAAGAAATGGTGGGGCAGCTGTATGAGCCATTTCGAGCTCTACTACATTATACAAGGCTGTCATTCTAACATTGTGAGCTTACTGACAGGATGAAAATGCAGACTAAGCTGAGTGATGACCTCCCTGGAGAAAATTTGGTCACCAACCACGCTGTGTTTCCTGGCTGGGGTATCTAGAGCACAAGACTAGTCAAAGGGCCAAATTTTTTTTTTCTTAGTTGTGGCTAGAATGGAGAGGGTTAGAACCCCTGCTGGGTTGTTATTGCTGTCTGTGCCCCTGATTGGGAGATTAACCCTCTCTGTTTGTCCTATTTACTGTTATCACCGACAGTGAGAGAATATCCCAAATTTTGGGTTGTCACCAGAGCAGGAACAGAAGATAAATCTTTCAATGGGATTTATGGTGACAAACTGGGATTCCCACACTTTGGAAGGATTTCCTCTCACTTCCTGTGTTGGCTATGGGACAGGAAGTGAAGGAAAATGTCCCCAATAGGACATAGCTGTGATGTGTGTTCTAGATAGATGGGAACTAACAAGGGAACTCTTCATGGATATATCTGGTCTTCTGAAATCATTCCAATGTACCAATGTACAGTGTGTGTGTATATGTGTGTGTGTATGTATGTATAAATATATATATAAATGTTTTTTGTTTTTTTTTCTTTATATATTTTTAGCATAGAGGCTTATTGAGCTGGGCCCACACCTAGACCCCCCAAAGAAAAGGCCGAACATGGAGTGGGCCATCGACAGAGTTGTAGAGTTGTCAAGGGGGTCTGAACTCCCCAGAGCAGAATTAATGAGCAATCATTATAGAGAGCGTTTGTGAGAAACCAGGGCTCTTTGTTCCCCCCGGTAATTGTCAATGAATGGGAACACTGCACATTTGTAGCTCTGATATCAGCCGATTTCTGATTGGCTGAGCTTGGAGCACTGGCAGTCTGTATCATCCTGCTGCTCCCTCCTCCCTCCAGGTCACTTCAGTTTACATCTCTCCATCTACATCCCAGGTCGGCTTGGCTCAGCTCGGGCGCTGGTCAGTGCATACTGCGCAGTGACATTATGGCACTTGGCGGCTTTTCCACCAATTTGATATATTGAGACTGCATAGAGGGGGATCGGGAGGAGAGGAGGATCCTACCTTCAGTGCCCTGGCCTGAACTGGACAATTTACTGTTACAGAGGTCAGTGCCTGACAGCTCCACACCACAGAAAGACTGACCTGCTATCTGCTGAGCCTGTAGGTAGTCACTGGTGTAAAGAGGGAGTAGGGACCCTAAGTCAAGTGGCCCCCCCTTACCATTTTGTATTCACTTTGCGGATGCTGATGTAAGAGGGGTGGGCTCTGGTGAGCAGAGACCTCCTTACCTTAGAGTTCCCTTTACACCAGAGTCCACAGTGTTCCCCTTTACATCAGGGTTCACAGAGTTCCCCCTTACCCCATAGTGGGAACTCTGCAGACTCTGATGTAAAGGGGAACTCTGGGGACTCTGCTGTAAGGGGGATGCTAACGTAAGTGGGGAACACTGTGGACTCATATGAGAGGAACTGTGCAGGCTCTGATGTAAAGGGGAACTGCAGACTTTGATGTAAGGGAGAACTCTGCAGACTCTGATATAAGGAGAAACTCTCCAAACCTTGATGTAAGGGGGATGGGGGCTCTAGTGACTCAAGACTCCTTTACATCAGAGTTTCTCTTTACATGAGAGTCTGCAGTGTTCCCCCTTACATCCCGGTCCTCTGGGTTCCCCTTTACATCAGGGTCTGTAGAGTTCCCCTTTGCTGCACTGTAAGAGGTAATCCTTCAGATTGTAATCCAAGGGGGACTCTGGGAACTCTGATGTAAGGGGGGACTCTGTGGACTCAGATGTAAGGGGGGGAATTCAGTGGACCTTCCATAAAAAGGCCAACCAAAATCCTCCTAAATCTGGCCCTGTGTCTGGCCTAGAAAGGGAAAGTTTAGCACTAGTGGGAGTCATTCATCTATTATGACTCTGGTGGAAAGGGAACTCTAAGGTAAGGAGGTCTCTGGTCACCAGAGCCCACCCCTCTTACATCAGCATCTGCAAAGTGAATACAAAATGGTAAGGGGGGCCACTTATCTTAGGGTCCCTACTCCCTCTTGACACCAGTGACCACCTACAGGCTCAGCAGATGGCAGGTCAGTCTTTCTGTGGTGTGGAGCTGTCAGGCACTGACCTCTGTAACAGTCAATTGTCCAGTTCAGGCCAGG